GATCATATTTTTTTATTAATGTCTTTATAATATTATTATGTTTTATTGTTAAAACATGCTTTTCGTCATTTATGTATTAAATTAAATTATTTAATATGGATAGTGTCATTCGATATTATCAAATGACATTATTAATAGCATAACAAAAAGTTACGTGCATCATATTGTATAAAAATCTATTTGATAGAATGTAGATTTTAATTAATAATATTTTTATCACTATTTATCCAATTTTTTACTTGCAATGTATACGCTAATAACTTTTAATACATGTATATGAACATTTGTATTATTATGTATGTGTTAGTTTTATTTCAACACACACGCAGTAAAAATGTTATTTAGCTAGATTTCCAAGAACAATCATATTAATTTCGATATGTAAATCATTATTTTATTGTCACTTCATAAAATATAATAGAAGTTTAAGTGAATTTACCTTAATTACCTTAATTAAATCCGTAAAGTGGTTGCTAAATTTTAAGTATACTGAACACAAATTCTTTAAAAATAAGTTTTTTCATTTTTCTATTCTTATAATGTAAGGGAAAATGTTAATAAAAATGTTTATTATTGTACGAATTTTCGATTCTTTATACTTTGATTACACTACTTGTGCGTAAAATCAAAGTATATATTAAAAATATAATGACCAATGAGAGAACTTTTGGTTAATTTCTTATAGAGCAAAGAAATTGCAAAAAATTATTAAAAATTATTAAATCTTGGAAAATATAACTAACGCCATTATACTTCCAGTCACGTATTTAGATAGGGAAGGAGGTAATGGGGGAAATGGCTTTGAGAGGTAGCAAAAAGTTAATAACGATAATTTCGTTCATCTTATCTAGCTTGGAAAGTAATGAGCAAAAATTTACATATCACGCAATAAATGTATATTAATTAAGAAAGAAACAAAAATCTGCTGAATGAAATCATATTTGGTACAATAAAATTATATTGATCTAGATCATTATAATTTTACTATTATAGTTCTACACAAAACTTAGTGTTTAAAATGTTTGAAACACCATTGAAAATTATAGCCTTTTTTATTTATTGATTTCTGTGATTCGAAATTGATCAAGTCAAAAGTTTTACCTTTAAAGTTTACATTTTACTCCTCCCAAAGACTTCATCCTACTGCATACTATGTAGGCTTAAACATAAGCTCGATTATACAATTCAGTTCGTTAGTTATTAGGTACATTGAGCTATTTGATTTTAGTTCGACGAATTAAATGACGATGGAAATTAGAAAAGAATTCTTTGAGTTCTTATCGCTTGTGACTGTTTAGTCAGTCTTTTTTTGTCAATGAAATGTACGAATTTAACTTAACACGTGTGTGGGCGGTAACTATTGAAATCTTAGGAAGCCGACGTGTCGTTATGAATGGTACAACGACAGACGAAATCAATTATACAGAAAATTGCTCGTGGAAGGATCTTCTTTTAGAGATATCGAAATATGCCGAGTATCTACCAAGTAAGAACCATTTGTAGTACCTACTGCAACACGCGTAGGTACATAGATTGTGTCTATGGATTGAAGGTGCGCCGGGCGACCACTGTGAAGATTCTATTATTGTATCCTTCGGCGGCGTAAGACATACCTTTTTGTACATTCCAACAATAACACTACTACTTCAACATATAAAATGTTGTATGTGTTTGTGAACGGTATAATCAGCAAGAACGATGGCGGCGGCGGCATCAGTTGACATAAAAATAATGATGTGTGTTCTGTTGGGCGCCGAAAAGCCTCGTCCAAATGATTAATCCCAACGTTTCTGGCGGTTTGACCAACACATTAATGGAAACAGGAACTATAAAGGGTCCAAATATTCCTACTGAGAGACGGCAAAACGGCAAACTACTAATCGACGAGGTCTACGCTGTTTGACGCCAATGTAGGCTCGACAGGAATCCATTTCCTGAAAAAAAATATCTTCAATGTAATTAAGGTCGAATAAGATGCGTCATACTGAAATCGTCCAGGCAATATTTCAAATGTAAATAATTTATATTATTCAGGTTAACTATATGAGAAAATCAGCGACGGACACATTTTTATTACAGTTATGATAACTTTTTTGTCTTTTATTTTATGGATAGATTAGGTACAATAATATAATTTACAAAAAATCAAACGATTAAATTTCATTAGGGCTGTTACGTGTTAAAAAAACCAACATTTCAAATTTTCATTAGTCTTATGGAACGTTTTAAACTGTTTATTTATGTTTTAAACATGTTTTTTATTTAATACAAGTAACGCTTGATTCACCTTTTTTGTATCTTAAATTCAACCAATGTATATAAACTTCTTTCGATTATTCAAATAAAATATGACTTTGTTTGGCACAAAAATGTATAAATATTTGTAAATTTGATTAACTTAAGTTGATATAAATTACAAGAAACAGTATAGAACTGTTAATTTTTCTATTCAAATTTTTAATTAACTAATTGGATATTACAGAAATATGCATAATTATTTAGCCAAATTTTGGCCTGTATACTCTTGTTGTGGTCAAGTAATTTTAACTAAGATTTAACAGATAAAATTATATTTTATGATATAACATGATGGGATACAGGATTTCCTCTAAATTGTGATCAGAAACTATTCCCTAAAGAAGACATGATAGGTAAATCGTGGGATTTCCGCAAATTTCACTATCTGTAAAATATTAAAGCCGTGAAGTTTAATTGACAATTTAATTTAGTGTTCTGGTGTGGTCTAGTGGTTTCTACACGTTACAGTTTAACCATTAATTTTTAAACATATATAAATGTTTATTAAAATAACATTTGTAACTATTTGTTTGATAATTGTTTGTATTAATTCATTTGAAATTTTATTTATTTATCTAATAAGTCTATTGAGTGTTGTTATTTATTTTTACCACCTGTCTTTACGGCTTCAAACCATAAGCATTACTGCCAAGGGTTCTTAGGACAGAACCTAAGAACAAATAAAAATTAAATTATTTGCGGGTCAAATATTTTGTCTGCAATACTCTTAATTTTAATTTTTTATCAATTTTGTTGTTAAAACAATTTAAATTGATATTTACGTAAGTGTTTTTAAAAGAAAATTATTTATTTAATTAAATAAAAGAGTGACCCAGAATAATGTTAGTTACATTTGATATACATTTAAATTTATTATCAACAATTTCAAAATCATAAAAAGTCTTACCTTTACTAATTTGAAAATCGAGCTACGAAATAGACATAAAAAAGATCAAATAGATTTTTTATTTCTTATATAAAATTGTTCTTATATATTGCAACAACATGCATGATCGATGATCACTGATCGTGACATAAAATCTGAAATAAAAAATAAGTTGAGCTCAAAGAGAAAAATGCTTGAAAAACAAAAATATAGCTGTGGAGAACGTTTTTATGCTAACCTCTTAAAATCGAGCACTATCATACCATTAAGCTTCATAAATGATAAGTCATAATAAAAACTGAAAGTTAAAATGTTATTAACTTTATTTCCTGACTCCTTCATTTATTGTAGGTTAGTGAATCTTAAAATAGTACTAAAAAAATTATTCCTTGATTACATTACCACAAAAAGAATTCACGCATGAATATAGAATAATAATTTCGAGAATAGGGAAATTTCAATATTTTGAATGGCGTTCTCACGTCATTTTTTTAAATAAAGAACCTGTTTCAGAAAATAATTTTAACTTTGAGGGAGAATAATTGTTCCTACGCTCTTTCTTTGTATCCACTCCTGTAATAGTGTTTATATGAGTGATTTAACTTACAATCATTGAAAAAATAATTATGGAAATATATTCTATAGTATAATGATGCCATTTTAATAACTACATGCGTGTTATTAACTTCTTTTTTAAGATCAGACGATGGTGGTGGTATTGGCGTTATGCGATGATCCGTTCCGCTGCTACTGATTACACCAGAGACGCCACCGCCCATTGTTTTACGGTAAAAATCACGTTATTGTCATGGACAGACATGGCCAAGCCTACATGATAAACCTAAAGAGCAACCGATAACAGACGTCAATATATTTTTTTTGTTATGATAAGTGGCGGATATACCCTTTTTGTTGAATGGCAAAAAACAAAATTAATGAACCTTGTTCTATTTTATCAGTATTAAATGACCGTACGCTAATAACGTGTAATAAGAGTTTGATTATCGACCCTCTCGTCGGAATAATAGTCAGAATGTTGATAGTATCGTCAAAGTGTCTTTAACATTATTGATATCTGATATCTCTGATAACTAAAAAATATAAGAGTTGATCAAACAAAAAATAAAATTTAATAAAATATTTTTTATGTTCATTCAGTGTTTTATCGTACTACCAGATTTATTGAAAAAATAGATGTAAAATATTTGTCTTTAAAAATACGGTGTTGATTTTAGAAGATAAAAGAAACAATAATAACATTAAGATTGAAAAATATCAAAATGTGGAAAAGAATGTGTTCTTTATCGTTCTTAGAACCAGTAAACAATAGCTTTAGTAATAAACTTAAAAATTCAAAACTTGAAAAACAAAACTCTCCTTAGTAAAAAATTGACCTGCTTTTTTTATTTCATCTTGTGATAAAATATTAGAAAATCTCATTTTATAATGAACATGTTATGTTCTTTTGAACTAATCATAATTAAATGTATTAACTTTTATATTATTTTATCACTATAATTTAATTGATAAAATGGGTGTTATTACTTTAGTGACCTCTAGCAGAATTCAGTAGTACTAAATTTATAAATTGAAAAAATTTACACTATTCTACATTTTGTAATATATTAAAAATAAAATTAATTAAACTAATAAAATTGTGCTAGTAAAACTTGATTTTCTTAAATTACAAATTATTATATTAAATGTAGTACATTCCATGACCAAATTCAAATACAACGTACATCTGTTGGGTTGGCTGTTATCATCAGTGTTGTAACGGACATATTTGTTTACGTGTCTACGTTCCGGTGACGTGAATGGTTTGAAAAGTTAACAACAAAGCGGTTAGGCAACGAAAGCAAATTTCTGTCCTCAATATTTCTTACGTAGTGTTACTTATTGCCAACGAGTTTAGTTTTCTAGTTCACATGTAACACTCTATTTTTTAAAGTTTCATTAATACTGTTTAGCTTTAATATTTTTTCAATTATACATATTGTTGTATACCATACTATATAGGTAAGTCTTGTTTTCAGCTATTATGCTCTGTTAGGGTTGTGTGATAATGTTTTTGCTTGTCTAACCGCTCTTGGTGTTTACTTATAAATTTGCTTATCCGGTTTTTATTTTTATAATTGTTATTGCGAATGTTGGTTTCATGTAAATAATTTAATACCTGGCATTACAATGTCTCGTTACCCAACACTCCAAAGCAATGGATATGTGTTAGATCGAACTATCGGTACGGGTGGTTTTGGTAAAGTGAAATTAGCTACTCATACATTGACTGGTGAAAAAGTTGCTATAAAAATAATGGACAAGAACAAATTAGGGAAGGATCTTCCTCGTGTCAAGTTAGAAATCAGTGCTCTCAAAAGTCTATCCCATCCCAATATATGCAAACTGTATCAAGTGATTGAAACTGAATCTCATTGTTATGTTATCATGGAATATTGTTCAGGTGGTGAACTATTCGATCATATAGTTGAAAAGAGTCGCCTTAGTGAAATGGAGTCTAGAATGTTTTTTAGACAAATTATATCAGCTGTATCATATTTACATGAAAATGGTTATGCTCACAGAGATTTAAAACCTGAAAATGTACTACTGGATAAAGATCAAAATTTGAAACTTATTGATTTTGGTCTTTGTGCAAAACCTCAAGGTGGTATGGAAAGTTTATTATTAACTTCCTGTGGTTCACCAACTTATGCTGCTCCAGAACTAATTCAAGGAGTTAAGTACCATGGATCCGAGGTAGACATTTGGAGTATGGGTGTTATATTATATGCTCTATTATGTGGATGTTTACCTTTTGAAAGTGATAATATTGATGAACTTTTTAGAAAAATATTGAAAGGTAAATATGTCGAGCCAAGTTGGCTTTCATCTGGAAGTAAACGTCTATTGAGAAGAATGCTGTGTGTAGATCCAATAAAGCGTATACAAATAAGTGAATTAATTAATGATCCTTGGGTAAAACTAGGATTTGGTTGTCCTCCAATGATAACTTCTAAAAATATGAATCATATAAAAGATACAGAATGTTTAGAAGTTATGAGTCAATATTTTAGTATAGATATGGATACTTTGTGGAGTCAGATTTCAAAGTGGAGGTATGATAGCAACTGTGCTATTTATTTGTTATTAATCAATCAGAAAAAGAGTGGCTGTTCAGTTTCTCTAAATAAAAAAGAATTACCTAAAGTAGCAGATTTTGCTATTAAAAGACCTACAGCATTACATACCCCTGGTCAAGAAAATAGAAGAATAGTTGGCCGAGCAGTAAGGAGAAAATTAGATGAAGTAACTCCAACTGTTCCAGCCAAAATCAAAAGAAATTCAAATCCTGATACTCCTCAACAAAGTACTTCAGCTCAAAATAGTCCAGCTGGTAAAATATTAGATTCTATTGAAAAACGGTTGGGCTTAAATCGAGTTAGAAAAGCATTAACACCAAGACGAAGAGCTTGTACTTCAACATTAAAAAAACCAGAATTATTGGATATTAAAAAAGATTTATGTAATATTTCGACAACAGTCTGTAAAGACCCAGAAAAGGTAATGAACCAATTGGAAAATGCATTGGTAACAAAAAATATTATTTGTTCAAGAAAAGGTTTTGTATTAAGAGGTAAATTAAAATGTGATATGGCTGATAAAGAAAAATTGAAGTTGTCATTTGAACTAGAAATATGTTTGGTACCTTCAATGAACAAAAATAATGGTTCTGTTGTTGCAATTAAAAGAAAACGTCTTAAAGGTGACTCATGGATGTACAAAAAAATTTGTGAAGAAATTCTCAATTTTACAGGCAAATGTGATACAATACAAGAATAGTAAAAATTAAATTGTTATAAAATGTCTTATTTAAATATTAATATTATACATTTTTTTTATGACTTAATAATTATCTTTAAAAGCTGAAACATTTTGATAAATTCATATTTGTGATAATTTATAGAATATCAAAATACTTAGGCTATTTCATATTGACCTGGTTATTATTTGAGTATTTAATGTACTGATATATATTTAGAAACATTGTTTTGAAATTTGACAAACATGTAAATATTAATATAATTATGTATGCATTATGTTAAAAAAATTTCAGGGTATTTATTTGAGAACTATTGTTAATTTAAATATAATTTAAAGCATTTTATTTTTTTTTTCAAATTAAAGTATTTTCTTTTGAGTAACATTAAACTTTAATCATAATATAATTGTTCATATCTTTGTAATGTTAAAATTAAAACTGATTGCAATACTGCACAATCTAGTATTTGTGATGTATTGAAAATAAAACTGAGATTGATATATTTTAAGTTTATTTTCATAAATACATTATGTATAATAATATTTAATGATTCGCAATACCTTTTAATCATTTTTAAGTTAATTGATAAAATATAATTTTTAAAATTCGTAGGCTCAGAACAAATGTAATATTTTTAGTCATATCTATTTTTCAAGCTCTAAATATGGTGAAATTATTCGTGATCATATTTTACTAATATTTTAAATATGAATAATTTTAAGGTTTAGTTGTAATTTCTAATTAATAAAATATATTAGTTATGTCTTCATTCTAATATTACTTATTTTATTAGTTACTTAAATTAAATTATATTACTGAAATGATATTTTTCTTTTTAGTGTATTTAAATTTGTATTATCTTGCCATGAGCTTTTTAGTCTCCTTAAAGATTAAATGGTTATAAAATTTAGACAATTTATGGTTGTGTATTTTTTTTCAACTCTTGTTACTATCAACATTTTTAAAAAATTATTAACAGATTTTTAATTTTTATAAATTGGTAACCCGTAGTAGGAAATATTAGTTTTTTAAGGTTATGTTATTTTCATTTCATGATAACATTATCTCTTTTTCATATGAAATACTGACTTAATCTTAATTTTTTATAAAACTTTTTCAGAAAAATGTATTCATTAAAAACATTATTAGTATTTACTTTAATATACTCGTTCATTGGAGTTTATTCCCAAAAAAAAGAAGACCAACGAGCTAGATTATTAGTTTCCAAACAAGTACTTAATAAATTATTAGTTCAAGATTCTGATATTCTAGTTAAAGTGAGTGGTTTATTATCTGTTATAAATTATGTGCATTTTTCATAAAAAATACTTTCAATTTTTAGTATACCATTTATAATGTTGGCAGTGCACCAGCAACCAATGTTATTTTGCAAGACAATGGTTTTCCTACTGAAGCATTTGCTTCTGTTAAAGGAAATCTTAATATGCGATTCAAAAGAATACCAGCTGGTGCTAATGTAACACATGCTGTTGTAATTAGACCTCTTACATGGGGAAGATTTAATTTTAGTGCAGCAATTGTTCAATATAAGCCAACTGAAAATGTACAAGAAACACAAATTGCAACAAGCAGTGAACCTGGTGAAGGTTATATCATTAGCTATGCCGAGTATGACAAGAAATTCTCTCCCCATGTGGTAAAAAAATACTATCATAATCTTATCTAAATTATTTAAATTAAATTTGATAATATGTTTATATTATATTAAACAGGGTATTCAGTAAGTAAGGAATCAATTGTTATAAACAATGAGAACAATAGAAACCCATTTCCTTACTTACTGAACATCCTACATATATTTCATTAATCTATACATGAAATCAATATATCTTGAATCATTTGATTATTCAACAAATTTTTGATTCTTTTTGTTAATATCGTTGCTTAAGAAGCAACATTACCTATCTTATTTTTGTTAATTTTAAAAGGAGAGCTAAAAAATAATTTTCTGTTAAATTGATAGTACCGGTCATGAGTTTTTTATTATTTATATAACATACTATCTTAACAAAAGTTGTTATTGACTAATCTTTTTTTAAATTAGATTATTATCTAATAAATTAGCAAGTAAATTATTTGTGTTGCTTTAATTTTGAGAAATTAAAGTTGATACTCCTACAAGTTATATGGGATTATTATAAAAAGTAATAGCTGATAACCCAAGAAATAAAACTGAATAATATTAGTTTAAAAGATTTATAATTCATTTTTGTTCATAGATCTTCTGATTCTGTGTCAACCATATGTTAAAATTAAATTGTAATCCAAGTATTATTATAATTTTTTAGTTAAAAAAAAACAGATTGATTGGTTTATCACTTTAACATTCAAAATAAAAATATTTTTTACTAATGATTTTCAAAATTATTATTTGAAAATTTAATTTCTGAAAGGTGTTTTTGAATGATTTGTTGTTAAAATACAAAATGTAGAAAGTTGTTTCTTAACTAATCATTATCTTCTTAGCCTTTATCTTATCCCAACTATTTGGGTTCTGCTCTACTTTATTGATTTGACAGGATTTTGAGACCTGCTGTCAACTTGATGCAAACTTATAATGGTTAACAGAATCAGTAAAGGGACAATGTGTGTAGTACTTTAAAAGTTTCCGTATGGTCATCCATCGGGAGCTCGCAGCAAACAGAGTAGTTAAACATTAGTGCTAAGACATCGACTGAGTATTCCATTGCGCCACACCACACAAAAGTTATTTTTTAACTATTAATAATAAATTATAAATATTTTTTAGTTGGATTGGTTAGCATTTGCCATCATGTCTTTGCCAGCTGTAGCAGCTCCATTTATGTTGTGGTGGTTTAGCAAGAGCAAATACGAATTAATTTTAAAACAAAAACGTGAAAAAGCATCTAAAGATTAAAATATATTTATAAAAAAAATTGTGTATATTACTATTAAGTATATAAGTTTAATTTTTGTTTAATAGTTTTTGTATGTTTTTAATGTTTCCTATAAAATCTTTAACGCTCAATAATTGAGTTAGTTGTATTTTTTCTATATGCAAATTTTTTAAATAGGTTCTATGTCACAAAAATTTATGTGATCTCTATAAAATTAATTAAACAATATCAATAGTTTACAATAATTGAAAACCCTAATTTAATTTTGCAATCCTTTTTTTTTTAACTAATAAAATTAGTTAAAGAATAGTGCTTAGTTAACAAGTTAGGATAAATACTATAGAGAATTAAAACTAAAAATTTATTATAAATATTATTTGATAATTCAAAAAATCAATTTTGTTTAACAGTAGAAAATATTTTACCAACTGTTTAAAAATATTAATTTTAATTTTTCACTCGAAAATTTTTAAATGTATCACATATTTATTGAATTTAAATGACTCTTCATTTAATTATATGCTTTATATACATACATTTATAAATTTTCTTATTATTATATGTAGATAAATATAATACCGTCCATTGTAAATTATCTGCTTTTATAGTAATTTGTACGATTTATTAAAATCATTTAATTTTTAAAATTAAGTAAGATTTTTCTACTTATTTATACTTCAATATAAATTATTTTTGTTACTTTTATTTTTTATTTAAATTTGTTTAAATTTTCTATTTAATAAATTGATCATAAATATTTAAATATATAACATAGGGACTCAAACTCAAAGTTTCAAGTTTTAATAATGAAATAATTAAGGATAAACCACTACTATAAATAAACTTTTGTCAGTTAGTATTAATATCAATCTCTTCTTACGTATCTTAAAAAAGTAGGCTACAACAAAAATACACCAGTCACAATACATTTTTAAACAAATATTAAAAATAGTTTTTAATGTTTAGTTATAAAATATAATTAAAATTTATAATATTACAATTCATTACACTTTGGTAACAATAAAATGTATTAAAATCAAACAGTTATAAAATATGAAAGGTACAATAGGTTTGAAACAAATTATATCCATTGAAAGAGAATCGTAGTAAATTCTTCCTGTAACAAAAAAAATAAATATTTAGTTAAAAATCTCTAATGAAAAAAAGATTATTTTTTTAAATAGATAAATTTATAACATTAAATTAATATATATATAAATGCAAATTGAGAGGGCTTTGTAGTTATTAATTACTCTGGATGTTTAGCATACATAAAGCTTACAATATTATTTTTAATTTAAATAAAAGAAAAGAATTATAAACTATTATTTATTAATACTAGGTACTTGGAGCATTTTAAAAATTTTTTATGTCCACTTTCCGAACTTTGTGAACATTTTCTTAAGTATACTCAGTACCATAGAAACATTTTTTTTTAATATGATCTTTTCTCATGTTATCCATAACTAAACTTTTCAATTATATACATTTTTTATTATAAAAAATAACAAACACGAATATTTATTTATCATTGATGTACTTAAATAAACTTTATAAATGTCTTGAAACGTATATATTTTTATATAAAAACAGATGTCAATGAAATCAATGTAAGGGGTTGTAGAAGTGGATTAATTGAACCTATGCTGCAGCAAAGGTAATTCAGTCCTAAAGCAATGAGAGTGAGAAGAGAAGAGTGTAATTTCAAATTTTCCATATGGGTATGATATGGGAACACGGTTTAATCGTCTATTATTTTTACAGTTTAAACGTCTATTTTTATGATCACTAAAATTTAGACTACGCCAATGAGGTCTTAAATGATATTTGGTCTACGCTATAAAGGCAACATCGACATTTTGACTGTTCTTGTTTAATATTTTTCTAAATAAAAAATATTTTTAAAGTAAATAAAGTATAAGATTCTAACCCTTTTGTCTAATTCTGTTTATTAAACATTAACATCGGTAGATAAGTGTATATATTTTTATAAAAATTATTTGTTATAAATTGATATTATATATGTAGAGTTACATGTATGTTTTAGAGATCAGTGTCAGTATAGAATTTCGTCGTTTCTATTCGTTCGTCTTAAGTAGTATGTTTAATTTTTGGATAATAGTAAAAAATTTTCATTATGAGAGAATATAGCGTGTGTTTGTGTATAGTGTGTGTGGTTAATCTATAATCGGTAAGTAAATAAAAAACTGATGATAAAAATGAAGTTTAATTAGTAATAATATTATTTAACATTATTAGGTAGTTTACTCAAAAACCTTATAACAATAGACATAATTGTAAAGTAAACGTTTTTTAGTAGGTCTATAACCCTGATATATAATTTTTAATTGACATTATTGGTTTCGTTGAGAATAGTCTGTACTCAATAATGGTATATGAAGAGGATAATAGAGCTAGTTATTAAAATAAGGGATTTTTCGCACTTCAATTTTAGCAGTATTGTGTGAATCAGATGATTTTATATTAAAATTATACATGAAATATTTCGTGGAAATATCGGTTATATCATTATAGTACCAAAGTACATTTTTACGTTTCCATATCAGCAGTAAATTATACTCAAAATTTTGTTTTTTATTGTGTTTTGGAATCATCAATATCAGGTAAGATATTTTTTATACTAATTATTAATTGTTTATACTTAAATAGTATTCCATTATAAATTTGGGATGAAATTTCGAGTGATTATGATGTATATTTAACATTTCAATAAAAGCTAGTAATTAACTTGTTTTTGTGAGAAAACACTGTTTTTATGTACCAGTAAATAAAGCAATAAAATTAATTTTATTCAGATTGAAAAATATTTCAAAACTAATATACAATGTTCATTAAAATAAATGAATAAATAAATTACATTTATATATTAGCTTAGAGTTTGCAAATTAAATATTAGTATATTTTTCCTTAATCAATAGAAAAAATAAATACAGACAAATTATATCACAAACCCCATTCTCTCCTACTCTAGATATTATTATTTATACATTGTTATTTATAAGAGCTCACAGTCATCATTAGCTCTTTTGATTGATAAGTTGAGAAGAGTATAAAATTAAAAGAAATAAATCTATATTAATGTTTTTTTTTCGATTCCTGATAAATGAATCACAAATATACTTTTATAGATAATAAATTTGAGATACCACATTTGTTTACACGTATCTTAAACCTAACTGACAATACTTATAAGTATTGATAAGATTATCATTTTTAGACTACATGTAGTATTTGTATAATTCACACTTACGTTCAAGGATCTCTGATGGTTTTACATGATTCGCGATTTTTCTTTGGAACTCGCCTTCCTATGTGTAAAGCCACTTCACCTAATTTAATTTCTTTGAAGACTGCTATTGCTTCTTGATGACTTAGACCGTGCAATGGTTTGTTGTTGACAGTCAAAATTTCATCACCTATTATAAATCAAAAAAATGTAAAATTTTATTTTACTTTTGAATCGCAGATAAAAAAAAAATTTTATTATTTATAGTGATAAGTTAAGTTCGGAAAGTTTAAGATTAAACTCAATATTTACAAGTTTTAGTTAATTATTGTGTAATAAATTTTAATATGCAATATTTAGACGGCAGAAAAGCCGTGTTTATGTCTAATTTATAATTTATATGTATATTATCGTGACAACTGTGACACGCTATTAGGTACTTTATAAATGCAATTTTTAGGTACACATTTATTACATTAATTAGATGTATCTACCAATTAACACGTTGCGTGTTTAAATACCTTTAAATATCAATGTCGAACAAATTCTAGTTAAATGAAATAATTTTAATTACTTGCACGGATAATACATTAATGGTGTATTTGGTTAATATCATAATACTATGCGAGTTCGCACGTTGATCTATTTAAGTACTTAAACTTATAAATAACTTATGTTATAAATTTCGTAACGCTTTTTTTTTAATTTAATTTAAATAATAGTGACTAATAATCTGCGCCATTTATGATATATATTCATGATAGATTTTTATAAACAATAAAAAACTTTGATAGAAGTGTCCACCAGTTAAGCGTTAAAAAACATTTCAATCAGATACCAGACAAAAATTACTAGGTGCGCCACGGACACTACGATTAAGTTTGAGACATTATAGTTGGCCGACCGCGGTAGTCAATAGACGGTGTGGTTTGATTCCCACGACAGCACCGAAAGTTCAACTAATTTTAACTATATAGGTAGGCATAGGGGACAGGCAATATGATATTTAATAGAACGACCGAAAGTTGGTCTATAGTTGGAAAACCCGCTCAGAGACAGTTGAATTGTACCAATTGATCAAAACAAAGCCACAAAAACCACACATTCAAACAATATAACGTTTTGCTAATATTAATATTAAACTTGTTGGGGAAATGTTTTGGGCACAGGGAGTTTACTATTGGTAGTAATTTCTGTGCAGGGCTCAAAATCCTTAGTGTGATCAAAATCTGACCGCACACCACGGCAGGGCTGGTGAGATGAATGCCAATGTAAAACAAGTTTATGATGAAATTCGTACGTGTTGCACTTGTTCAATCTTTCATGACGAAAATACATTCAGCAGTGGATAGGCTAATCATATTCATATTCGTCTATGAAATATAATAGTGTACAACAGGTATCTTGGCTCTTTGGTATATCAGTCGTCACGATGGTAAACATATCTCACGCGAGTCGCCCCTCAAGAAGGCCCGTTTGAATAGTAATATAATTAATATTGTTATTGTTATCAGTAAATTGTCGTGCATTTCAATAACTTCAGACGCGCGTACTACAAACGTGTGAGATACCCCTGTACCCGCAAACGGTGTATATGAATAATTCATTCAGTGCAGATAACGTGCATGTGTGTATTCACTATTCAGCATTGTTTTGTATATTATATTGTTGTTTCCTCGTGACTCATATTTTTGGACGTACTGCGTCAGGGAGAAGTGGCAAGTGCACCTGTACGATATTATTATTGTAATATGTGTGCGGTGCCAGCAGTGCAAGACGTGGCCCCGAGGCAATGAACCTAAGCTACCGGACGTTCGTTGTTAAACGACGGGCATACATCAAGTACAAACACACCTTTAAGTAGTATTCTGTTGCTGTGCGTTACAAATTTTTCACGTTTCCCGGAGTCCAAACAATAGAATTTAACACTAATTAACCGGTTGGACGTTAAGAATCGGAATTCGAGTAGAATTCTTGGAGTCATATACAATAGAAGCAACTTGTAATTGTACACCACCAATGTGATACCTAATATAATGAGAATAATTGTTTTAGCGCGTAGGTATATACTATAAAAAATTTAATGTCAGAATCAACGGCGTGAATCTCGTGTATTAAAAGTAATAATTTAAATCATATGATTTTCTACGGATCGGTACAATATGATGCCGGACATTTCGATGAGTAATCTTGTGAAGAATTTATAAAGCAGTCACGGTGGCTAGTCGAGATATCCACCAGAGGAATGCAATTGAATCATGTTCAAATTTATAGTTACGACATATTTTTCATAAAGTAACATAAAAGTCGTTTGAACTAAGAGTATTATTGCTCGCTCGTTTTTAGGCGACTTAAGTTGTGAAGCTAATATTTTAGTGGTAATCATCTCGTCTCTTGCATATTTTATTACATGCTTGATGGTTAAAATAAAAAGGAAAAAACTATTTATCTTTCAGTAGTTAGTTTTTAAACTGTTATACTGTTAATGATAAATTATAATGGGTTGTCACGGTATTTTGTATCTTGAAAATGTTTATGTACATTTTGTTTCCTTATAAATTTTTTTGGGTTCCTGTGTTCGGTTTAGTATGTCATTTTTATTGGATTTTTATAGAAAAGCGACTACAGTTATTATCTGTAACACTAGGTAAGTAAAACCACTGCAGTATACTTCACTCACCTTCCTTCAAAGATTGTAGGTCAGCGGCTTGTCCGTTGGGAAATATAGTTTTCACGTATATGCCCATCGTTCCTTTGGGTGAATCTGTACCGCCGACTATGCTGAAGCCCAAGCATTTGTTTCCCGGACCTTTATGGAACTTGACCGTCATGATTGTGAAACATGCGTCTTTGCCGCCTCCCCGTGGCAACGTGTAAAAACAATTTTCCTTTTTATTTTCCTATAAAAAAAAAAAAAATTAACATAAAAAATACACTTTTTTTATTGGGTTCAAATTGTTTGGTAACCTATACATATTTCTCCAGTAAAATTTTATTACGCCGACGAATTCGACTAAGAAAATCATACTCGTGCGCTATTTATTCTAAAATTGATTTGTTTTTGTAACATGAAAAACGAGTTGGTGTATTTCCATTCATTCCTAAGAATAATTGCTAATGTAAAATACGTATAAAACATGGTAGCAAAACGCGCAAAGTGAAGATTCGCTCGGAGACGACGAACATGTAATAACAATAATACATAATAATTTCATTATCTATCTAGTGCATACGACGCTTACCGTTGAGTAGGTAGAGCGTATAACCCAATTAAATATTCGATGATGTCGCGGGGGGCAATATGCCAATTACTTTAAGTTTATATATAATTAATCTCATTTCAAGTTAACCGTATGTGTGCAAATACCACATCTATACGATTTTAGACGTGTAATATGTGGAATTATGTGCACTTACGTATATTTATTAGTTGTAATTACGATTATTAACAAATTATACTTTCACAACAAAACGATCAACCGGATATAAAACGAAGGCGAGATAATTTATTTAGTATACTATTAAATAATAAATTATTACCAATAATACATTGATGATTGTATAAAGTTAATTCTGTTCAATAAAAATTTATACATAATTATATTAGAGAGTAAGCAGCAAATGTTTATTATGATGTCTATCAAAATGAATTTACACGATATTTGTAATGAATAAGATGAATACAGAGTTTGAAGAAAAACTGAATAATTTAAAAACAAATTAACTCAGGAAATAATTTCGGTTGACTCTTATTCCGTGTGCTAAATATCAAATAAATAACCATTTTGTTCTATTTCCTTGAAAGTTGTTTTACTTTCAAATTCTGAATTTTAAATTATTTAAAAAATAGTTATGGATTATAATAACATAAAGCAATATTGTTTCTATAAAGAATCTCTACCCTAATTGTTTCACAAAATAATTTGATGTAAATATGATAATTGAGAAGTGGGAAAATATTTGTACAATAATTTCTGTTACATTTATAGATCTGTCAAGTTTCAAACACCCACTGTATGAAAATTTAATTTATTTTATCAAAATCGTGATGGCAATTTATATTGAGGCGGGACCTCTCGAAAGTACACAGTTATGTGTAATGATAATTTTTTCATTTCTTAGATACTATTCTATGTTGAATCACGTTCACATTTGCTATTGTTTGTGTACCCATTAATAGAAATTTTATCGTGATCATTGATCACCGTTCGGGGGTCTGATACACACCTACAAATAATGAAACGTGATCGGAAAATAAAATTCAAGTAAAATATACTCTTCGCTGGTTTTGGTGTGAAATATTTTTATTTAGGAAAATTTATTCGATTTTAAATGGTGAAATATGAGTATTTATATTTTATGTTTGTTTTGACGGCTGAGATAAATTGACACTTAATTTTTTGGTAGTAAAACGTCAAATGTACGTTTCGACAAAAATATATTAACGATTTGTTAAAGGATTTCGACGTGGTGTGAAATGTTAAACAAATGATTTCGTACAAATTTGTGAGATTTCGTTTTTAGAGCGACTACTTGTGGTAGTGAGTGGACTGTGATTTATTATAAAAATTGAGAGTGTTTTCAAAGTAAAATTTTAATTTCTTCGTGCGAAAATTTCGATTGTGTTAACGTATAAAAAAGTGACAGCCATTTTTTTACTTAATTCTTTCCAACAATAGTGTGCCCTGACATTCTATGCGGTCTTATACAAACGCATTGCAGTCATTGGATGCAATAGCTAACATGCAGCGATGAATGAAAGAATTGCGGTTACTATTTACCTTTCAACAGTAACCGCATTAAGTACGTTTTATGAAATGAAAACGTCATCGAGTAAAAAAAAAAAAAACAAATCACTGTGTTACTGGATTATAAGCGCGAGGAGTGTTTCTCAGCCAAGAGCTCTAACACTATGTTGTTGACCAAGACTTAATGTTATTGTCATGAAAACGCATGCAAGATATTTAGGGTAAACATGCAAAATTTATGCTGAAACAAAAACACCGTTGCACATACTGTTATTATCATATTAAAACTATATTGTTTAATTCAGACTGTCTGTGCAATATTGTGTACTTCGCATAATTTTCAGGTATAAGATGTAGCTATTTAGTTGAAATAAAACATTATTAAGTGAGAATTGAACCGAAGTAACTCACGAAAAAAAAACCCTATTATTACAAAAACTTTCATATACATTTTGTTCGTTCGTTTTGAAATGTTTTTGACGAGACCTTTTTTGGGTCAGACATTTGCAAATGTTTTATTAACATTCATCACGTAACGCTTTTCTCTTTCGTTTGAACCAAGCCGTCGATCGCCTGGTATCTACACTGTGCTTTATATGCATATTTTTTATAATAATAACGATGTAATTTCCGGTTGTGCCAACACATCAAATGAGATTTGTTTATTTAAAAATAAAATACTTGCACGGCCGAACATGATACTTAAAAAAAATTCTTAGGATCCTAGATGATATTCGATTATATCGTGTACAATTGTGGCGGATGTTTTGGAACGATGCTAAATAAAATAATTAACTAGCACTTTTGACTAATTGTGTGTAACGATCGAGTGTCTCGTGAAACGTCCGTTCAATTATAAAAGACTTTGCAGTTTTGTTTATAAGGGTCCGGGCATGAACTAATTAATTGGTCTACTCGAGAGTATTTTAATCTCATTGATTAGTTTATTACTATCGTTTATGATCCCGCTGTGAACGTATAATTACTATGTGTGCTCGTAGTACCAACCACTGCTGCATTGGGTCGAGTAATTTAATTCCGAGTCCATTAACACGGTTATCTAAGATACCGTGACGGTTTTGTGATCGAATGGCAGTCCTAAAATATATCATGTGCCACGTAAAAGCTTAAATAAGGACGCCGTGTGTCGACTTTTTTATGACAGTGCAACTGCAAACCCTTCAATACAAAAATATTGTGATTACGTGCGAAAATGACGGCTTGTAATAAATTGTTCTAGGAATTTAGTCGAAACAACTTCCAAACTCGGAGACATTGTATTTATTACAATAACTAACAACTAGTCGAACGTGTTGTGATAGCTCGATGAGATCGAATAGATATGATGTGTATTGGATTCTAAGTTCCCAAGAATTTCGCTAGGATGACAAATATTTCTAACACTTGTACTTTGTATTTATATTTACTTCAGTTTTAGTTGCCACGTAAATTTTGGGAAATCGTAAACTCTCCCTAAAGTGATCCTTCCAAAATTGTATACTCGCTAACTCTGACAAATTTGAAAAAGTACATTTCACAAACTTCAGCATGTATACAATTTCCTAAAAATATCTTATGATCACTTAAGTTTCCACGTAAGTGATCAACTGATGTGTATAGATGAATTTATGGGCTTTGGTAAAATTATAACATTTAGTGTGTATTAAAAAAAAGACTATTGATATTTCAATTAGATAAAACGTGAATTTTAATATCACTATTATTAAACATAGTATTGAACAGATAATAAAGTGAAAATAAACAAATAAAATATAATTGTACATTTTCTATTTAAAATATTTATTTTATTTTGTATATATATATTCATTTGAACTCTTTTTTCGTATAAATGATTGATCGAAATTGTTTCTACGTTTTTTGTATAAATTTAAATTAGGCACCGAACAAAAATTAATAGAAATAATGTCGACAACTTTTGACGCAGTTAAGACTAGTAGAACATATTCATTAACTTGTTTGATTTGCCGGAATTTACATGTATAAAATTTGGGAATGTTTGTTTTTGTCGGAGTTTCTAGAATGTACTTTTTAAGATTTGTTAGAGTTTATATATAGCCCTAAATTTCATGTATATTAATACCAATAAATTATGCATCTAAATTTTGTCCTTAATTTTTATTAAATCTCAACTGAGAGGTAAGTTTGTAATGTCTTATAAGAAATTGAAGATGCACTTGGTCGTTTATTTATCTATGGCGTTTTGGTTAAGCCAAGAGATTTAGATTTCTTTCTTAATGGATACCAAAGTACATTAGTCATATCATTTTTATGTTTCGTATACTGAGTATTTCATCTGAGCTTCAAATAAGAATAAGTAAATATAAAAGAGAGAAGGGTTCCCAATACGTATGCATCGATAACCGATACATAAACAAGATATGTCAACCGACCTTTACGGTGAGTGTACATAAGGTACTGTAATGATAATGACTATGAGATTGTACCTGAACGTCGCGTCGGCAACTGGTGCTGATGGAATTTGTTATCTTTTTATCGATGGTGCGATAAATATTTCGTCTCGCCTTCGTCGATCCATTTCTCTCGAGTCTGTCCACTGTGGCGGCGACGGGCATCCGGTTCCATTGTTGAGACTCGGGAATGGCGGGCAAGTCTGTGGTTGTCCTACTGGATGGCGTCCGTAATCTGATGTCCAGTGGGTCACCGGTGATTGTGGGTGGTGGCGGCGGCGTGAACGTCAGCGAGGATGGTGCGTATTGGACATAGTCGGGTGTGACGGATAAAATGTTGGAATTGGCGGTAACTGGAGCTCCAATTTTGAAGGAATTAATGCCGGACACGGATACCGGTCCACCTATGCGAAACGAGCCTACGTTGTAAACGACGTCGGTCTGCTGATCGTTTAACCGCATGGACTCGTCCGAAATTGGAGGTGTCGCGTCTAAAACCAGCGAGTCGGCTTGCGACCACCGGCGACAAGATCTCATTTTAGGTTTGTTCTGCAACAGAAGGCTGCAATTGACGTACTCGTCGTCCTCTTCGTCGTTGTACCCGTCGTCCGTTTCGTAATCACTGCAACGCTTTGAGGAGGTGACGATGTTCAAGGACAATCTGTTGGCGCTGGGCCGACGGCCAATGCACCTGTAATAAAAAATACATGATTGGTATACTATTTTTATTAAGGGATTTGCCGGCACGAAAGATTTTATTTTCGAATTTTCGGTCACGTCGTGGGATGAAACACGTGTTGACTAATTGGCACACACGTTATATTTACTTTCCCGAATAGCTCTATTTTTATAATATTAACGCATTTGATATAAAGTGACTTTTTCCTAACGGTGACAACCTAGTGTAACAATAAGAAGATTAACAAAGATTCCAATTACTCTGATACGGTCCAATGGAGTAATAAATATATTAGTCGGTACACAAAGTAACCGGTCGCACGCTGGCTAGGGCCTTTGGGTTTAGTCCTCGACGTCATTACATTTGTTCGGCCGGCCGTATAAGTAAAAATTAATACCGGAGAGAAGTCTAATGAGTTGGCGAACTTGACGGTACAATGACTTTTGAGTTATGAGTAACAATATTAATAGTATTGCGTTGGGTCGAATCGTCAAACATTTTCTAAGAAAAACACTGTTAGACTGTTTGACGACGACGCGCTGTTATTTTTTTCTTAATCGACCGAAAACAAAAAGAAAAATAGGATGCACTAAACATACCCTAACCGGATTCTATTTGTGGACCAGATGTTTGAATCGTCTGAAAAGCTGTCAACGAGGAGCTCGTTAAAAAAACGTGCTAGAAAAAAAATATCAACATTTTTTTTATTACGATTTCGTGGTTTACGCCTAAGGATTTTTTTAAAGAGTTTGAAATAATATATCAATCATATTTCCACTAGGCGCTTTACTTTTTTGAAATTCGCTTTATAAATATCGATGAACAATACAATACTCTAAGGGGATTAACGGATATGCATTTAAACAATTTTTACTACTCCATTTCAAATACACCTTTCACTATAAATTAACATTTCGGGGTCTATCCTTAGTATTTCCTCTATGGAACTCTCATGAGATTAAAGACCTGTAAAATTAAAATATTGTTATGTATATTTTTTAAATTTAAAACTTTTTAATCGCCAAAAAAAAGTAATTGAATCCAACCGTACGGTTTTCTTTTGCTGAATAAAAATATGCATTTTGCTTTTTCTAGTTTTACAGTTTTTATCAAAACAAGTTATTCTGGAAAACAGGTTCATTACATACTGTAAAAAATGATCCGAACATTCCCTTTCGACAGTATGATATTTTTAATATACACGTTAATTTTATACACAAGTAGTATAAAATTGACATAAAGTATCCAAAAGTCGTACACCAACATAACATTTTTATAAAAAATTTCCCTTAATTTGAATGCGTTAAAAAATATTAGTATTTATTAATATTTAGCAAATATTTATTAATAATATACAAGTACATGTATGTGAAAATTTGACAATTTTATTTTTAGAGTGCAATAAAAATATGTGAAAAACTAAAATATTTGTAAAAATTACTGTTTTTATGCTTGATTTAAAGATGAATTATTTTTGTATTTAATATCCAGATTTATATAACCATATTATACTAGTATAAAAATGAATAATTAACTTGTGTAAAATGGATAAAAAAACTTACTGTTATATAATTTCTCATGCTATCAAAAATGATGTATCGAAATTTAACGAATACTAATTATTTTTTTAATTATTTATGAAAAATTTAAGTATAAGCAAATTAAGCTTTATTAAAATAAATTTAAGATAAAAAATTCCGGGTGAATTTCGAACTTGCATATTTTATTTAACGATGTTTACTTTAATTAATAATATATCTTAAAAATTAAACAACAAATACTTGCCTGCTTAAATTGACAAGTAAAACTATTACAAATCGCTTAATATATTAATAAAGTTTTATTAATTCTTTAAAAAAAAAGTTCTACAAAGAAAAGAATGTTAAGCATTCTAAATACTTTGATTTTTTAAAATCACAATTTTTATCGATCGCTTCAAAAATAGTCGAATACATTATTTTCTTTCTTACGCTAATGTTACACTTGTTAACCGCAGGCATTAAAATCTGTCGGTTGTCAAACAAATTGACATTAACCACCAATATTAAAAAAAATTTAAATGATTTGGTCACAATGAATTACACACAATGACATTTCGTGGTCATGACAATAAATCATTACACATTTTGATTCATCGTAAACTATTAGGTAACATTTACGCACATGGATATCGTTGGCTGTAGTATGTTTTCTTGTTCATTGTTATTTATTCGTTTATTTAACATCCCTTTTCGGTAATATTGTATTTTATTTATGAGGTCATGCTAGTAGTGTAACCAGTTGAATGTAAAACACTTCAAACGAGGAAGTCTTGGTATTGTTATTTACTCCCGCACAATACAATAATTATACTGTCATAATGTGTCGTACACAGGTAATCGTCGAGCATTTCGGCATTGTCTACTGCAGACGACCTCGTCCTCAATTTGCAAAAACTATTATTTTGGTAATAATATCTGTTTATTTTTACGACAAAAGAATGATGGCATAGCAAACACATCACTTATGTCATGACCACAAAGTCGAGCAGAATCGATTATGGAAATATAAAGGATCTCAAGTATTTCATATTTCGCCAGTTTTTCTATAAATATATTATTTTTTAACGAAAATAATGAACTAATGTAATGTTTAATGCACTTGTGTTTTACCTTTTAAAGGTAAACTTTTAGGGTTAACTTTGAAAGCTTATTTGGAATAAAAGCGAATCAATTTTTATCATTGTTAGAGATTTATTCTTTTATTTTTACATGTATAATTTTTTAAATAAATCCTTCAAAATATACATGAAGTATATTGATTTTAGTGAACATTTTTTATTTGAATTACACTGTATAATGATTGTCGGTGTAAACATTTTTAAAGTAAAATATCTACCAAAAGATAAAAATTATTTCTTTTAAAAAAAACTACCGTACCATAAAATTTTAAAGACCTTGTGTTTATAAAATCGCATATTGTGTTGGATGATGTCGAATGTGTGTGCGTGCGTAAAGCGTCGGCCATACGGAATAGCCATAGAGACCGTTTTTTTCCCAAACTGAATATTTGATGGAAACCGTCGAAATGTGTATTTGATTACACGACCGTCTGGTATGATATTATTCTGGTGGTAACCGGAGCTGTGGCGGCATAAACGAGCTTAGGCTGCGATGACCAAAAACGATTTCCATGTGTGCAGGAGACGTTATTTGGGTCGATGGAAAGCGTGAGAGATTACAGTCATAAACTTATTATTGTCCTTCTGGCCGCGCTCTGCTGCAATCCTCATGAGCGTATTATAATAATACTAATATTAAAAAATTATTAAAATGTCTAACGCATCGGTCACGAACGCCACAGATATTTTCTATTTGCCGATGTAGTTGAAATCCTGTTCTATAAAAGTCAACACACGAGATAAGAGCCCGAAAACAATGATTAAAACATTTCGGTAATCGATAGGCACGCGATGACTAACGCTTGTCATTTACATGATATTATGAAATATGATTTGTTTGAAGAGTTTTTTTCTATAATAAATTTTCAAGTATTGTGATCGATAGACACGCGTGAGAATGTTTCAACGCGTTAACTAATACTCGATGACTATCTGAGTTATTAACGTTGTGGCATCCAATCGATCAAGAAGTGGTAGATATTTTCTCAATGTCCAATCTCTTTAATAGCCTGTGAATTATTTTTATTCAAATAATATTTTATATTATCATGTGTTTATTGTTTAAATGTCTCGACATCTTTTTGGCACGACTACGAGCAACAAAAAGTGCTCGCGGCAAGGTATTATTTCACTTTTGCTTTTTTTTATTATGATGTTCGTTAGGTTACATGTTTAGGTCAACGGTGGGATTTTCATAACTGCTCATCGTAACACGGTTCAGCTATACAATTACTTATATAAACCTCAGTTTGCTATTACAGTTCATTTTAGTAGTAAAACGGTTCTTTGCGAGTGTAAAGCTTCGAGCGAATTGAAATCACTTAAATCGACTAGCTTTGAGCAATAACTTCACTTTACAGAACGAAGTAATTGGATTAAAAGCAACGGAATTTATGAACGGCAGCGGTTCTTTAATCGTGACGGCTGTTTCCTCTTGAATTTCGTAAACGTTGCACAATTTATGGCGACAAACAAATATGTTTTCTTTGTAAATTTCGATTCAGATAAAAAAAAATACAAATGACTATGAATTCTCTCAGAACCGAGGTGACTGACGCCACTTGACCGATAGTTAGCCAATTGATTTATGACGTCCCAGACAATACGTGCGAACGTATAATGAAATTTATTCACGCGATAAACATCTCAAAATAATACTTTTGTGACAGTAAGACATACTAATAAACAATAATTAACGTTATTATGCAACGAGGATTTAGATTAATATTGTGGTCGTGCGAAAATGCAATCTAATCGTAATTATAATTAATTATATCATAAAATGCTTACCGGCCGTTGTGGGTGTCTTGGTCGAATCCATGAGACGTCGTAATCGGGTTGCCAGTAGCAATGCTGTTAAAACCATGTTCACTGTAGGACACTGAAGACCGGTCGCTGTCATCAGTACCACGTCCCGAAGAGCACGACGATGGCGTTTCCACGATGCGACACCGTGATGCCAGATTGTCGCCGAGGTTATCGAAAATGGCCGGCAACGAGCAAGGTCCGTTGTGATCGTCGTCGGCTTCTTCGTATTCGGGAGTCGATAATGGGGAAGGCACGTAGAACGTGGACGAATCCGTCGTCGTCTTCCAAGCGGTAGATGCGTCGGGTTGCGTGGGTGGACAACGTTTTCGCATACGGTTAATTCTTGACCGGATGATATCTTGCACGGCCACAGCAGGCGAAGGCTGTGGAGACGACGGGATCAGAAAACCCCTATCATGGTGATTGTCACAATCCAAATGTACACCCCTATTTTCGTCGCCCTTGATGCTTTTACCGCCGGCATTGAACGATGAACATCGCCGACGAATCTTGCGCCACTTTTGTCCCATGTTCTTGTTCCACACACCAACATCTGTAAACATGAAATATTCTTAGAAAATGTGAATTTTTTAAAAATAATTACACTAGTTATGAAGTATAATTAAAGCTATTTTCATTTAGTTATAAAGTGATTTTTCACTTTTCGAGGGATTTACAAATTTTTATTATTTAAAGTAAAGTGTAACAAGGGGTAAGATGACGCATGGGTTGAGATAACTTATTACCAATAAATTATTTAGATTTTCAAATATGGTTAAACTGTGTAGTGAATTTACTAAGAGTAAGCAGTTTTAGCTAAAATTATAATTTAATTATTCAAGTAATACTAACCCAACCATATTCTATTGACGACAACCATAGTAACAAAATGTTCAAAATAATTATTTTAATACGACTTTCAGTTACTTAAATATTTTATCAAATAAAATTGCTAGAACTCATTTATTAGAAGTGTCATATCGTCTTAAAAAATAAAATTATTTTGAACATATTCATTTGATTGAATTAAGGTCTATAGCGCGTCAATATTGCATGACAATTATTTATAATGCACTAAATATCAAGTTAAATTTACTCGGTGTTATCTCTTAACCTTTTCGCGATATTTAAATTCAATTTTGAAAATTGCACTATATTTCAATTGAATTAAACGATCAATAATTTAATAGAAAGTGCAATTAATGAACTAGTTTTCGGATGCTAATGAGAGTATAATATATATGTTAATTAAATGGAACTTGTTTATTATAACGTTTATAAAATGTCATCGACAACACTGTAGACACAATCAAACAGCAGTTCAGTTTGAAACAAAAAATACACTTTCTTCAGCATATAACGTTATCATTAGTGTTTTTATGAAACAATATTTGTCCGGTCAAAGGTATAAATATATTGAACATTGAAATAACTACATTTGGTAGTTTTGAAGATTCTTAATTACTTTTTGTTTCAAGCGTTGAAAAATAGAAAACGTAATGACTGCGCAAAATTTAAACACCAATGAATTATTTTACTTTACCATATTTTATGTTACGCGTGTTTTAATTATGAGGTATTGGTTTGATCAATGATTTTAGTAACTTATTTTGAGGGGAACTAAGGTTATTTTACATAGTGACATACGTTTACCGTTTAAAATGTAGCAAATAAAGTAAAAAAAATACTATAAGTTGTTACATAGTTACTATTGGACTTGCCGCACAAAATGTAATTTACGAGTTGATTTAGAGAGTAAACATTCTCATTTCTTAGAACACAAAACGTCTTTTATTAAATGATAGTGTCCTACTATTTGTATATGTAGACGGAATATTTGAAGTAAATATTTATCAGTTGGAGTTAAACTTTAAGGAGTGTTCAGATGTTTCAATATAAGGTAAATATTGAAAGTAAACTCAATTCTTGAAATCTTAGTATTGGAATAATACAAGTACACGTAGTATAAAACAACGGAAAAACCATCAATAATTTAATTACAACAATATAATATTTTATATTATGAAATCAATTTTTCATGGTAACTACAAATTTGTACAACTTACATGAAACACCTGAGACAATAACTTCTGAATTAGCTTTAATGGTATTTTAAAACAAAAAAATCCTTGAAAGCTCGTGAGGAAATATTTTATACTTGGAAACGAATCGTTTTTTTTTAAACATTGCTGTTTTATCTTAATAATCTACCATTAAGATTATAAGAAATCCTGCAATAATTTGATGATGATAGTAATTGACAGTGTTTACTTTTAAGGCCAAACATAAAAGTTTTTTAGTTAGATGAAAAGCAAATGTCAAATAATTTACAGTTAATATGCAATACGACGATAGATTTTCACGAGTTTCAAGGAAATAAAAAGTAATGACTTAACCTCTATTATAAGACAACACTTATTTTCCTGGATCTCATGTTTTGTCAATGTAGTAAAATGAAATCAACCTTTTTGCACTTTCGCTATTGTTAAATTAATGCTTCGCCTAATCCGAACAACTTGGACACGGTAATTTTACTAAAGATGATTAGGTATGCTCGTCGTTATACCAGAAAGGTTTAGACGAAGGCACATGGCCTAAGAACGCTTTGATAAAACTTTAACTTTATGAATATAGAATGATCAACATTTATTGAAATACGAGCGACTTGACCATATACGATTAATTTGTCGTATTAAAAATCAAACTGTCATCGTCCCTGTTAATTGATTGCGAGTCGTTCACGATAATTTGTTACGATGTCGCAATAAAAATGTAGGAACTCTTAATTAGAACGCGGGAGGGAGACACACAACTATCAGAATACAATGATCGACCGCGTCCTCCGGTTTATATGAATACGTTTTGATGGTCACAATCTGTCCATAGAATCAGTTCTTCATCCGGTTGAGACGCGCACCGATCGCAACGTGAAATGATGGATTGAGAACCTGCACGCTGTTTTCGGTTAAACGAGAGATGAAATAAAAATACATTTGTGTGCCATACACGACGTGTATTTGTTTTATTGCAAACGTCGCCGGGTACACGTGTGGGGTGCACTGTTTGCAATCACTAATGCGACTCGGGGAAATAATACGTTCGAATATACACAGTGTGCAGTACTGTCTGTCCGGATGCTGCGTGTAGACAGTGGTCGGACGAACGTAACAACGTGTGCGTGCGATGGTTAGCTGTCACGTGCTTTTCCTGTCCTACACGGCTATGCCAATTTTTATGGAAAAGTGAACGAACCGTTGAGATTAGGGTTACTAACATAGAATGTTAGTGCGACTCGTTATAAATACCGTCGGTAGGCTTCCGCTTGACGGTATGCGGCGACACCGGAAATTGATTTAATTGTTGTACATACTGTTCCTCTACTGTACACAATTGCGTTAACCGGCGAGATTCGGTAAAAATTTCATAAAACGACGAGTAACACTCATTCGGTTTATTTAGTGTTGCCGAACACGACCAGTTTACGTTGTTGTCCATTATTTTTTCATACATTCACCAGACAGATAAATTGCAGCGTCCGTAGAATTTCTAGTTATAGACTAAACAAATGTATACGCGGCGATATAGTGAGTTTCTTTTCCATAAAAAGGACAACGGTCGCTTGTGCAGTCGAATCCATATACATTAAGATCAACCTTAATTATGTGTTGGTATTTTATTATTTTTTATACTCTCGGTATAAAAATGAAATTAAAAGTAATGAAGCGGAAAAGAGAACGTCCATCGTTGTACTCGATTACCGGCAAAATAATAGTTGTAGACAAATAAAAAAATGTATGTACGTTTGCGTCTACCTACGTGCCGTCGCACTCTAGTGCAGCGCAATATAACGAACGACACTATGCAAATATGATGAGACGTCTGCATGGCCGAGGTGTATTCGGTCTATGTTTATAGCACCCCCACGGTTGACAAAAAACGTACTAATGTACTGTTGAATAATCATGTATTCGCAGAACACTAATAGTAATAATTATTATTAATAGTCGGCTGTGTGCGGTTTTTTTTTTTGTTTTAGAGAAGAACGCGTGCGGCGTTGGCCGAACGAACACATGTCTTGTCCGACCACCATCGCCGCGAACGCATTACCGAATGCTAATAATAATAACCGTAGTAAAACATACGACATATTAACACATGTCCGTATGTGGAACTGGCAGTATCGCATACGGAATGATGATCTTTCGTTCTCAAGTAAATTACTGTCCCGGAGCGGAGATGACGCAAACAGATACGCAATTCTTATGCGCTGAGTATTGAATTTCACGAAAACTCAATAGAATGTCGTTTACATAATTATTTCCATATTAATCTCTAAATGAAATAAAAAATAATAATAAATGATCACTAAAAACTGATTTGCCGTTGAAATTTATATTTCCGCGGTTTTTTTTTATTCCACAATACTCAATAAGTGGCGTCTTTTGCAATACACATTAATTGTTACGAACACAAATATATCAATTACCGTACGTATACACGAGTGGGATACGAAACGTGCAATTCGGGTGCACAATTACTGTACCGAAACCAAAGCGTTTGACTCTCCTTTGAGATAATCTTTGCAATTCTCTTTTCCCGGCGGATTGGCGACAATCCGCCGGGTGCTTTTGAATGGCTGGCTGATCGGCAGCCGCACGTTGTACATTCAAATGCCGATAATAATACACACGGGTAAGATTTCAGCGAACACACACGCGGCTAATTAGTGGTTTATTCATGTTTGCTCGATGAATACCTATAGAAATTCGTATGCGAGCACAGCCCGTAAATAATTATATTAGATACGACAAGATATAATAGTAATAATACCCTGTGTTGACGTTAAAAAAGTATCATGTGCAGGGATGTTTTTTCGTCAGTGCCTCATCAATCGCCACTTGTTTGTGTGCGGTAATTTTTTAACGTGCAATTAAAATCCGATCGGTACAAGTGAAACGTGCAATTTTACGAACCAACAGCAATAATAAGACGTTGATTAGACTTTGCGATGCACTGATCGGTGGACATGTGGAACAATTGAACGTATTACTACGTAGATGACTGCATAACAGTTGCATGTGTAAAATTGTGAAATGATAACGCCTTGTAATTGTCAGTCGATAATCACAGACTTGATAAATCACGACTGTGTCAATTGGTTCTTCTCTCGCGAAGTGATATTGCATTCGAATTAAAAATAAAAAACAATGAACAATGGAATTGTAATTGACGAAACCTATTGTTATAGAACGAGATGAATCGTTTGTATTGGTTTAGAAGTCGCCGTTTGCAAACAATTACCGGCCACTGCAATCTTCTCTCCAAGGCGAAAGTTCGAGTTTTTAAACACAAAACGACAATAGGTATTTATTGCTTGATAAAAGTGTTCGATAAATGTTCAGGCCCCACGCGCATTTTTCTTCATTAATGTCGAATAGAAACGACCCGTCGCCCGAAAGAGGACTGCGATGTAAACTAATTCGGTGTATTCGATGTAACGTCGCGGTTTCGATGGGTTTCCAGGATTAGAATTGGGAGAAGAGACCGCATTAA